TGGGGTGTGTGTGGGGGGTATGTGGGTGTGTGTGGAGGTGTGAGGGGTGTGGGTGTGGGTGTGTGGGTGGAGGTGTGGGGTGCATGGGTGAGGGTGGTGTAGGGGTGTATGTGGGGTGTAGGGTATGTGGACTAGCAGTGGGGGTGGGCATGGTCTTGCCAGCAGCTTCCCTCCAGGTCACAGCAGCAAACGCCATCGTAGCAGTTCCTTACCTTGGTTAGATACTTGGCTTCCCCGTTTGAGATCAGGGAACAGAGGCCCAGAGGTGACATGATTGGGTCAGAGCAAGCAAACCAGAATCAGACAATCCGTGCTGACTCCAGCCTCTGCCCCACCAGGCCACCTCCCTGCCAAATTCTCCCCTCTGGCCCTTTCTGGTCTAGGGGGAGTTGGGCTGGTGCAGATATGAGCCCTCAGGCTTAGGAGTTTCTGCAGCCCCTGCTGATGGCCATGAGTTTGGGTTCAGACCAGAGCCCCTTCTTTCCTGTAGTCTGGGACCACCAGCAGCCCCACCATGACCTTGGGGTGGAGCCCCTGCCAGGAGCGCATCCATGGGTGGCACTGGACTCTCTGTGCCTCTTTCGCTCCCACACAGGCTTGGCTGCTGTCCTCGGTTGTTCTGCTACTCCCACCACCTAGACAGCCCCGGGCCGTGCAAATCCTCACCAGCTCAGGGAGCTTGTCTGTAGGAGGGGACTTACTGGATGCAGGGTGTGGTGTTTATGGAGATGCAGCCCTTCTCCCTCCAGTTTCATGCACGTGTGCACAGATGGCGAATGAGGCTGTCAGGATGAGTTCCTGCCAGGTCTCGGCGGTTTCCCAGAGTTGCTGGGCTTAGGGGCCAGTCGGCGGGTGACCTACCCTCCCAGTCAGAGGCAGGCGTTTCCCGTGACAGTGTCGGGGTGGCAGTAGGCGTGCGTGCAGGTGCCCATATGCACTTGACCCCAAACTCCCTTTTCCCTGCGATGTTCATGCGAGAGTAATGCAAATTGAATCGGATCGTGCGGCCACAACGCCCTCTGGAGTAGTTTGTGCTCAAAGCTGCTGTCTGACTCTTTCGGGCAGTCTCGGAAGTGCCTGGGTTTCCTCACTGAATGTGCGTGGGGACGCAGCTCCCAGGAGACTGTGCTGCTGTTTCTTCTCCTCTTCTGCGTCCTCCAGGGCCCCTGGGGCTGAGCCAGGTCTCCAGGTGGGCTGGGGAAGGCTTTGCCGGGCGAAGCTCAGGGCTCTGTCTGGCGCTGAGCTCTCCTGTCCCGCACGCTGGCCTCCCTGTCTCGGCCCCTGTTGCGTTTCCTCCTGGCCGCTTGGACCTCTCCCTTGACTTCTCGCCCTCTGGCTTCCTCTCCAGCCTGTGCTCCTTGGGACACTGCTAATGTTCTTCTCTCTTCTAGGAGGCACCCCGAAGCCAGAGCCAGAGCAGGTCCTAAAAAACTACACGGAAGAGCTGAAAGTGCCCCCTGATGAGGTTTGTGTCTTGGTAGCTGGGCTGCCTTTGTTTCTGTTTGGAAACAACTCCACATGGAAAGGACACCCGCCCCTTCTTGCTCGAAGGGCGCTTCCCAGGGGCCTCTGGGTGCCAGGGCCTTGCTCCAGGTGCTTTGGTTTCATCTCCCGGCCTCCCTAGCCCTACATCAGTATGGTGAGCTTTGCACTTAAGGAGCTGAAAGCCCCTCCTCTCCCAGCCCTAGCTTCTCTGTAGCCTGGTGGCCGTCCTGGGAGCAGGAATCCTGGAGACAGGATGGTCCAGCCTGTCCCATTCTTTGCTGTATGGACACTGGTGTAGAAGTGAGGTGGCCTCGTCCAGGTGGCTGTCCTCCCCCTCTGGCTGTTGGGAGAGCTGGTCAAGGTTCCTGTTTGTTTGTTTGTTTTTGAGTCGGAGTTTTGCTCTTGTTGCCCAAGCTGGAGTGCAATGGTGCAATCTCAGCTCACCACAACCTCTGCTTCCCAGGTTCAAGCAATTCTCCTGCCTCAGTCTCCTGAGTAGCTGGGATTACAGGTGAGCAGCACCACTCCTGGCTAATTTTGTAATTTTTTTTTTTTTTTTAGCAGAGACGGGGCTTCTCCATGTGGGTCAGGCTAGTCTCAAACTGCCAACCTCAGGTGATCCACCGGCCTCAGCTTCCCAAAGTGCTGAGATTACAGGCGTGAGCTACCGCACCCAGCCTGTTTTTTAATTCTAAAAGCAGAGGTGCGCACCGTCACCCAGGCTCAGTGCAGTGATGTGATCACAGCTCTCTGCATCCCGGCCCTCCTGGCCTCCTGTAATGAATGGGGCTAGTCAGACTCCTGTTACAATTCCATAGAACTTGAACTTCTCTGCTGAGCCATGTTTTGGGGGCTGCAGCACCACTTTCCCCCGATTTCATTGGGGAGCCCTGGAGATAGGGAGTGGGGTGGGTAAAAGGCCAGGAGTACCAGCACCCAGGGACTCTCCACTGTGTCCTCCAGTCAGTTGAGGCTGTGAGAAAACTCTGCTGAGTAAGGGTTCGGACAGGAGCCTGAACGTCCTTGTGTGTCACACCCCTTCCACCAGCCCTGGCCGCACTCCCTCCTGCCCAGCCCTCAGCTCTGTCTCCGCCCTGGTGCCCATCCGGCGTGACTGGGCTGTTTTGCCCAAGCTGCCATCTGCACAGCCAGCATGCAGCTTGGATCGTGGGAGCACTCCCTGCCTGGAACCTTCAGTGGGGCCCCCCCACTCACACACAGCCACAGCCCCTGTGCATGGCATCCAGAACCCTGAGGGCCCTCTTCTCCCTGTTCCTGTCTCATCTCCTGCCCCCGTCCACCCCCTGCCCACTTTAGTGGCCATGTGCTGGGGCCTCGTTCAGAACATCCTCCTTCCCCTCCCTGGGTGCCCGCTCTGTGCTTGTCCGTTTGGAAATTCCTGCCTCCCTTCTAAGATCCCACTCCAAGGGCCTCCCCCAGGAGCCGGCCCTGTCCGTCCCACCCATTTGGCGGCTCCCGATGTCATCTTGGGCCTGTGCTGCTGGTAAGCCCTTCAGGGACACAGGTCCCGGTGACTCACCTGTGTTCCCAGCCTGTGGAAGGGACGGTTTTTCTCTGAGATGGACTCAGTCTGTTGCCTAGGCTGGAGTGCAGTGGCACAATCCCAGCTCACTGCAACCTCCACTTCCAGAGTTCAAATGATTCTCCTGCCTCAGCCTCCCAAGTAGCTGAGATTACAGGCACGTGCCACCACGCCCGGCTAATTTTTGTATTTTTAATAGAGATGGGGTCTTCCCATGTTGGCCAGGCTGGCCTCAAATTCCTGACCTCAAGTGACTGGCCTCCCAGAGTGCTGGGATTACAGGCCTGAGCCACCACACCTGGCCTTGGAATTGACCGCATTTCCAGCGTTTCAGCACACGAAAGCGCCTTTTTCCAAGGCTGGCCCGCATGAGCCCAGCCCACTGGGCATTTCCTGTGCTTGGTCTCCTCCAGGACTGCATCATCTGCATGGAGAAGCTGTCCACAGCATCTGGGTACAGCGACATGACTGACAGCAAGGCCATCGGGCCCGTGGCTGTGGGCCGCCTCACCAAGTGCAGCCATGCCTTCCACCTGCTATGCCTGCTGGCCATGTACTGCAATGGCAACAAGGTACCCACACTGGCCCGGGGTGGAGGCAGGTGGCCCGCGCCCCCACAGCCCTGAGCTATCCTCTGCAGTGGTGGGAGGGTTCTCTGCAAAAGATGGTGCTGGGTGTGGGGCCAGCTTGAAGACCTTTCTAAAGGCCTGGCTGGCTCTCCTAGGCTGGCCCCATGCTTAGAAAGGGGACCAGTGGGGCTGGGGCCCTCCAGCCAGGCCTGAGGAGATTCTGGGCTTCTCTGAGCCTCAGAGCACCGCCTTCCCCTTGGCCCACTTGTAAGCGCTACACACATGGTCTCCCTTCTTCCTTATAGCGTCCCTATGCAGTCAGCACAGTGCCGATGAGGGAGAGGCTCAGAGCAGGAGCTGTGACCAGTGTCACCTCGCTGGGAGGCGGGGGCCAGACCTTGAGGCAGGGCCGACTGGGCCCCGTGGCAGCCTACCCATGAAGAGCCTCGCTCAGGCTAACCCCTAGCCGCTCTCCCTCCAGCAGCCCTCAGGCAGGATGGGCAGAGTTGGGAGGCTGAGAGAACTGAGTCCTATGGCTCATGGATCCTGGCTCAGCCTCCCCTAGTGTGGGCTGTCCTGTGCAGCCAAGTCCGGCTCCGCAGATCGGGTGCTGCAGGGCTTCTGTGCCACCTCCAATCCGCTTCAAACGCGAGTCACCAGAGGAGACTTCCGCTCAGGACCGAGTTTCCCACTCGCCACCTGTCTTCTGAGAGCACACCCTTTTAGCGAAAACGGCATAATGAGTTGCTGGTGTAAAACAAAGCTTTCCAGGGAAGCTGCTGGAAACCAGTTTCTGGGCGGAGAAGCTGCCAGGAACTCCTTGGGATGGCGGCTGGCCCGTTCCCGGGGCCCTTTACCGTCTGACGGTGGAGGTGAGAGTCAGGCCGCCAGCTCAGTGGGCCGTGTCTGCCTCTCTCAGGATGGAAGTCTGCAGTGTCCCTCCTGCAAAACCATCTACGGAGAGAAAACGGGGACCCAGCCCCAGGGAAAGATGGAGGTATTACGGTTCCAGATGTCGCTCCCTGGCCACGAGGACTGCGGGACCATCCTCATCGTTTACAACATTCCGCACGGCATCCAGGTGAGGGGCCTTCCCAGAGTCCCCACTCCGGCCACTCCTCTTTCTCCCTGCCCGCCTCCCAGATGTCTGCCCCTGGATCAGGCCTGAGGAGGCCCATGTAGCCAAGCTCAGGCCCCCAGGTCCCCCAAGGCCAGGTCCGTGGAGGGCCAGAAATGGGGAAGCAGTGCCAGGGCCAAGGGCAAACTCTTAGGGCTGCAGCAGCAGAGAGCTGGCCTGACCCTCCACTCTTCCCGGGAAGGGAGGCCTTCCTAGAGGAGTAGACATCTTAGCTGGACTTGTCCTGGTCAGAAGAGCAAGCGGTTCAGTGGGAGGAACCCTGTTGAGGGGCTGGAGAAGTGGGGGGCACACAGCAGGGTGTGCATGGAGGAACCTTGGATTGGAAGTGGCAGGGTCAGGTGTGGGAGTGGCAGGAGCCTGGGCACAAGGCCCCACGGTTCCAGAGGAGACCCAGATGGGACCCTGGCCCTTTTGGTCTCCCATCTTGGGCCAAGGTGGATTGCGGAGCCTGGGGCAGGGTGGGAAGTTACAGGGGCAGCAGCCAGCAGGCACTGGGTCCCGGCCAAGGTCCACCTGTGGTGGGTAGAGGGGTCTTTTTGTCTTGTTGAACCACAAGACTTTTCCCTACTTTCCCTCCACTGCTCCACAGCTCAGAGGGAAATTCAGGAACATTCAGGGTTGCCACTTGGCAGGGGAGGAACTGGAGCTGTACAGGGTCCTGTCCCTCTGCAGGCCCCAGAGCACCCCATCCTGGTGCCTGTCCCTGTGCGGGCCCCTGGAGCACCCCATCCTGGTGTCTGTTCCTCCTTCAGGGCCCCGAGCACCCCAATCCCGGAAAGCCGTTCACTGCCAGAGGGTTTCCCCGCCAGTGCTACCTTCCAGACAACGCCCAGGGCCGCAAGGTAAGCGCCACCACATGCCCCAGGGATGGACCGGGCCCTGACCAGGCAGTGGGACGCCAGGCACCACACCTAGCTCTGCCTCTGCAGTGGAGGACAAAGGACAGAGGCCGAGGCCGGGCCAGGTATCTGCTGTTCCTTTCTGGCGACCGCTGTAGGTACAGGGAAGACAGCCGGGACCTCACAGAGCCTCGAGGGAGGAGAGGCCGTCGCCTTCCAGCACCCTGCTAGGTGGGGTCAGAAGCTCCTCAGGAGTCAGAGTGTGACAGGGAGGGACCAGGGGCCATGTGAGACCAGGTGACCAAGGAAGGCCAGAGCTGTTGTGTCTGCACTGAGACCTGAATAGGACTTTCTGGCTGCAGAGAAGGCTGGAGATGAGCCTTCCAGGCAGGCAGAACAGCTGGCAAGGAGGGTGGGAGCCCGTGGTGAGGGTGCGAAGGCAGAGCTGCCTCCCAGCCAGCCCCAGGAGTGGAGCTGGTTCTGAGCGCCCAGCGAAGCCACGGGAGGTGGGGCTGCTGATGGAGCTTTGGAAAAGCTGGGATGGGCTTGAGGTGGTGGAGCTGGAGGCGGGGAGAGGGCAGGGAGGCCTGGATTCCACCAGACAGGGTGGGTGGGCGCTCATCCAGCACGGGCTCTGGAAGCAGGGAGGACTTGAGCATGGCGCCTGGGCATTGGGACCAAACAGATGACGGCAGTGCTGGGCACCGAAGCAGGGTGGGCAGGGTGGGCTGGAGTGCAGGCTCACATGGGATCCTCATGTGCTGTTCAGTGGGCAGCTTTGGGGTCCCCATGGATGGGGTGAGTGCCAGGGACTGGATGAGGTCACCGGGGAGGGGCTGGGAGGGAGGAACATGGTGCCAGCCTGTGCCTGCTCACGGAGCCCTTCTCCTTCTCACTCCCCATCCCCACCTTCCTCCTCTTCCTCCTCCCCCTCCTCCCCGGCAGGTCCTGGAGCTCTTGAAGGTGGCCTGGAAGAGGCGGCTCATCTTCACAGTGGGCACATCCAGCACCACGGGCGAGACGGACACGGTGGTGTGGAACGAGATCCACCACAAGACAGAGATGGACCGGAACGTGACGGGCCACGGCTACCCCGACCCCAACTACCTGCAAAACGTGCTGGCCGAGCTGGCCGCCCAGGGGGTGACTGAGGACTGCCTGGAGCAGCAGTGACCTCTGACCCCAGCACGCCCGCCTTGGGTGCCCACCCTGCTGCCCCATGGCTGGCTGGGTGGGCAGGCGGAAGTGCCTGGCCCAAGAGGCTGGGAGGTTTGTTGGAGGTGTGGGGTGCGCCCCACCTGAAGCCGGGGCTCCACCCTGCCTGCCTCTTCCTCCTCCTCCCCTCCGGGAATTGGGCAGCCCTGGGCAGTTGTACTCGTGGGGGCTTAAGATGCAGCTACCTCAGTGCACAGGGCCCATCTGTCCTCCGGGGGCTGCTTTGGGCCCGCGGTGCTCAGGGCCTGGCATGGGGCAAGTAGATACTTCCCCAGCCTGGGTGGGCGTGGGTTCTGAGTCAGCTTCTTTTACCTCAGTCTTGTTTGCAATAAATGCTTTATAGCCAAAGCTAGAAGGTCCTGGGGGGATGTGTGCGTGCGTGTGCATGCATGTGTGCAAGTGTGTGTGTGCCCACCCCGCCACACTTCCTGCATCGGAGCAGGAAGGCGGCCCAGGGGTTCATCAGCTCCCATCTGATAACTGAAGAACAGGCTACAGTGAGGCGTGGAGGAGCCCACGGTGCTGAGCTGTGCTGCTGCCACATGCCCACGCTGATCTCCCTGCCGTGTGCCGTCCGCCATCCCTGTGCCAACAGCTGTCACCCCAGAGCACCAGCTGTCACCTTTGTGTCCCTCGGGTTGTGGTTTACAAAAAGCCATTCACTTAGAGTGGGAGCTGCTGTCTCTGTTTTACTGATGCGGAAACAGGTTCAAAGGTGTAATGACTTGAACCAGGTGTGGTGATACATGCCTGTTATCCCAACTACTCAGGAGGTTGAGAGAGGAGGCTCACTTTAGGCCAGGAGTTTGAGACCAGCCTGAACAAAATTGCAAGACCTTATCTCTTAAAAAAAAAAAAAAAAAAAAAAAAAGACCAGGCAAGGTGGCCCATGCCTCTAATCCTAGTACTTTGGGAGGCCAAGGCAGGTGGATCGAGGTCAGGAATTCGAGACCATCCTGGCCAACATGGGCAACAGAGCAAGCCCCCATCTGTACCAAAGATTTAATGCTTGGCTAGGCAGGTGGAATGCAGGCCAGGGTTGATCTGACACCATTCTCAAAGTGCTAATTATTGGCCCTCTTGGAAGGAGGATCAGATGTCCCCAGTCAAGATCTTGCTGCCTGTCTAAGAGGAATAGTTTGGGCCTGGGACCAGAGGGATGGTAGGGCCACCTCATTCATGACTGTGGGAAGCAGAGGCACTGCGGCCTTGCTGAGCCCCTTTCTTGGTTAAAAAATGTATTTTATAGCATGTTGGTATAATTATGAATATATTAATGTATACTAGAGGATTTTTTCTTTTTTTTTTTTTTTCTGAGACAGTCTCGCCCTGTCACCAGGCTGGAGTGCAGTAGTGCGATCTCAGCTCACTGCAACCTCCACCTCCCTGGTTCAAGCAATTCTCCTGCCTCAGCCTCCCAAGTAGCTGGGATTACAGGCACACACCACCACGCCCAGCTAATTTTTGTGTATTTTAGTAGAGACAGGGTTTCACCATTTTGGCCAGGATGGTCTCAATCTCCTGACCTCATGATCTGCCTGCCTCGGCCTCCCAAAGTGCTGGGATTACAGTGTGAGCCACCACACCTGGCCCTGCTAGAGGATTTTCTTTCACCCGAAGGTTCATTTTTTTCCCTTCTGATTTTAAAAGAAATAAAAAATGTTTGTGTGCTCTTATAAATAGTCTGGGCCCAGGGCACTGTGCCTAATGGTAAGTTGGTCCAGGGGAAGAAAAAAAAAAAAGGCAGTGAGGCCTCCCTGGAAGACCCCAGCATAGCTAGACCCCAAAACTGTTTGGTTCCACATTTGATTTGTTGTTGTTTGTTTTTGAGATGACGTATCGCTCTGTCATCCAGGCTGGAGTATAGTGGCTCGATCTCGGCTCACTGCAACCTCTGCCTCCCAGGTTCAAGTAAGTGACCCTCCTGCCCCAGCCTCCCGAGTAGCTGGGACTACAGACACTCGCCACCACGCCCAGCTAATTTTTGTATTTTTAGTAGAAACAGGGTTTCACCATGTTAGGTAGTCTGGTCTTGAACTCCTAACCGCATGTGATCCTCCCACCTTGGCCTCCCAAAGTGCTGGGATTACAGGTGTGAGCCAATGTGCCCAGCCTGGTTCAATATTTGAGACTCTGTACTGAGACTCACACTGCCTGTGAGTGCAGGATTTGGGGTGGGCACCTGAGCCTTGAGTGTTCCTCCTCGAAAGGATTCTGAGGATGAAGATGGGAGAAAATCTTTTCAAATAGCATAGCTGATAAGGGTCTACTATCCAGAATATGTAAAGAAACCTTAGAACTCAACAACAGGCCAGGCATGGTGGCTCATGCCTATAATCCCAGCACTTTGTGAGGCTGAGGTGGGTGATCACCTGAGGTCAGGAGTTTGAGACCAGCCTGACCAACATGGCAAAACCCCTCTCTACTAAAAATACAAAAATTAGGCTGGGCATGGTGGCTCACGCCTGTAATCCTAGCACTTTGGGAGGCCGAGGTGGGCAGATAATGAGGTCAGGAGATTGACACCATCCTGGCTAACACGGTGAAACCCCATCTCTGCTAAAAATACAAAAAATTAGCTGGGCATGGTGGCATGCACCTGTAGTCCCAGCCACTCAGAAGGCTGAGGCAGGAGAACTGCTGGAACCCAGAAGGCAGGGGTTGCAGTGAGCTGAGATCACGCCACTGCACCCCAGCCTGGGTGACAGAGGGAGATTCCGTCTCTCAAAAAAAAAAAAAAAAAAAAGACTAGCTGGACGTGGCGATGGGCACCTATAATCCCAGCTACTCGGAGGCTGAGGCAGGAGAATTGCTGGACCCAGAAGGCAGGGGTTGCAGCGAACTGAGATCGTGCCACCACACTCTACCCTGGAGTTAGTCTCAAAACAACAAAAACCTCAACAAAACGACAACCCAATTTAAAAATGGGCAAAGAACTGGAACTGATGTCCCTCTAAAGAAGATAAATGACCAGTTAACACATGAAAAGGTGCTTGAGGGACCAGGCGAGGTGACTCACTCCTGTAATCCCAACACACTGGGAGGCCAAGGCAGGTAGGATCACCTGAGGTCAGGAGTTCAAGACCAGCATGGCCAACATGGTGAAGCCCCATCTCTACTAAAAATGCAAAAAATTAGCTGGCATGGTGGCATGCACCTGTAATCTCAGCTGCTTGGGAGGCTGAGGCATAGAGAATTGCTTCAATCCAAGAGTCAGGTTGTGCTGAGCTGAGGTGGCACCACTGCACTGGGCAAAAGGAGCAAAACTCCTCAAAAAAATGAAGACATGATTCATTAAGAAAATGCAAATCAGGCCGGGTGTGCTGGCTCACGCCTGTAATCCCAGCACTTTGGAGGCCAAGGTGGGCGGATCACCTGAGGTTGGGAGTTCAAGACCAGCCTGATAAGCATGGTGAAACCCCGTCTTTAAAAATAAATAAATAAAAATTTTTTAAAAAAGAAAATGCAAATCAAAATCACTACATATCTAATCCCACTGGATAACTAATCTCAGCCTCATCCTTTGGGAGTTAGAGGCAGGAGGATCTTGAAGCCAGGAGTTTGAGACCAGCCTGGGCAACACAGTGAGACTCTGTCTCTAAATCATAAAAACAAGCCAGGCATGAAGTGTACCTGTAGTCCAAACTACTTGGAAGGTTGAGGCAGGAGGATCGCTGGAGCCCAGGAGGTTGAGGCAGCAGTGAGCTATGATCACACCACTGCACTCCAGCCTGCACACAGGACAACAGAGTGACACCCTGTCTCAAAAATTAGACGACACAGTGGCTCATGCCTGTAATCCCAGCACTTTGGGAGGATGAGGCAGGCGGATCATGAGGTCAGGAGATCAAGACTATCCTGGCCAACATGGTAAAACCCCGTCTCTACTAAAATACAAAATATTAACCAGGAATGGTGGCTCGTGCCTGTAGTCCCAGCTACTCAGGAGGCTGAGGCAGGGAAATCACTTGAACCTGGGAGGCAGAGGTTGCAGTGAGCCCAGATCATGCCACAGCATTCCAGCCTGGTGACAGAACAAGACTCCATCTAAAAAAAAAAAACAAACGGGCCAGGCATGGTGGCTCACGCCTGTAATTCAAGCACTTTGGAGGCCAAGGCGGTTGAATCACCTGAGGTTGGGAGTTCAAGACCAGCCTGACCAACATGGTGAAACCCCGTCTTAAAAAAAAACAAAAAACAACCATGAGATCCACATTACACCCATTACGACGGCTGTACTAAAATAAAGCAACGTTGGAGAGGATGTGGAGAAATGGGACCTTCATCCACTGCTACTGGGAATGTAAAATGCAGCCACTTTGGCAAACAGACCTTCAAAAAGCAGCGATAGCATAGGACCACAGTTTTGCTCCTAGGTACATACTCGAGAATTGAAAGTGTGCCCACAGAAGCCTGCACACAGATGCTCCTGGCAGCAGCATTAGCCCCAAAGTGGAAAAAAACAAATGATGCAACCAATGATGAATCGTTCAGGGGGTGGAATATTACTCAGCCATGAAAAGGAAGGAAGCACTGAGGTGGAGGAGGAACCTTAAAAAGGTAAAAGAAGCCAGACACAAAGGGTCACATTGTGTGACTGCATCCTATGAAATGCCCATTATGGGCAAATCCATGGTAACAGGAAGTAGCTTAGTCTCTTAGACTGTTTAATGGGTGTAGTGTTTCATTTTGGGGAGATGAGAAGGTTCTGGAATTGGTGATGGTTGCACAACCTTGTCAGTATACTAAATGCCAGTGGGCACTGTGGCTCATGCCTGTAATCCCAGAACTTTGGGAGGCTAAAGCAGGAGGATCCCTTGAGCCAGGAGTTCAAGAGCAGTCTGGGCAACATAGTGAGACCCTGTCTCTACCAAAAATATGTTTGTTTTTTTTTTATTATTTTTTTGAGACAGAGTCTCAGTCTGTTTCCCAGGCTGGAGTACAGAGGCATGATTTCGGCTCTCTGCAAACTGCCTCCCTGGGTCAAGTGATTCTCCTGCCTCAGCCTCCTGAGTAGCTGGGATTACAGGCACCTGCCACTATGCCTGGCTAATTTTTGTATTTTTAGTAGAGGGGGTTTCACCATGTTGGCCAAGCTGGTCTTGAACTTGTGACCTCAAGTGACCTGCCCGCCTCAGCCTCCCAAAGTGCTGGGATTACATGCGTGAGCCACTGCACCCAGACTCAAAAAATATATTGAATTAGCCGGGCACGGTGGCTGATGTCTGTAATCCCAACACTTTAGGAGGCCAAGGTGGGAGGATTGGGTCATCCTCTCTGGAGTTCGAGACCAGCCTTGACAAAATTGTGAGACCCTGTTTCTACAAAAAATATATTTTAAAAAATTGACCAGAGTGCTGGGCACAATGGCTCACGCCTGTAATCCCAGCACTTTAGGACGCCAAGGTGAGCGGATCACTTGAGGTCAGGAGTTTGAGACCAGCCAGGCCAACATAGTGAAACCCTGTCTCTACTAAAATAGAAAAATTAGCTGGGTGTGGGACATTTGCCTGTAATCCCAACTACTCAGGAGGCTGAGGCAGGAGAATCGCTTGAACCCAGCAGGCAGAGGTTGCAGTGAGCTGAGATTGCACTACTGCACTCCAGTCTGGGCGACGAGTGAAGCGCCATCTCAAGGAAAAAAAAAGAAAAATACACACATAGTGAGTGCCAAATCCTGGGAGGAGCGTCAGTGGCGGGTGTGTCAGCTGTCCAGGGCTCTGCAGTCCTTTCTCTGAATCTAAGTTCTTCCTTGGCCAGGCGCGGTGGCTCATGCCTGTAATCCTAGCACTTTGGGAGGCCGAAGTGGGTGGATCACCTGAGGTCAGGAGTTCAAGACCAGCCTGGCCATCATGGTGAAACCCCATCTTAAAAAAAAAAAAAAAAAAAAAAAAAAAAGTTCTTCCTATGGATGGAGAACCGAGGCTGTCACCTGGGAGAAGGGCAGGGCTCTCCTCATGGAGAGCCTCAGGGCTCTCTCGGGGCCGGCGTGCTGTGATGGAACTGGGGCTGGGCAGGTTGGGGCTGCCCGCTGCTCCCCACTCCTGACTCTGGGTGGGGACGGAAGGCCGAGGGAGGCTCCTGGCACCTGGAGCGCAGGAATCTCAGACATGCAGTCCTTAGCCCGCTTCCAAAACCCAGGCCCTCCTCCCCAGGGCCGAGAGACTGGGAGGGGCCCCAATCCAGGCTCCAGGATGGTCTGGCTGGCATCTGGGGGTACAGTGGCCCCTCTCCCATGACGCTGGCAGTGGGGCTGGGCGCTGGCCTGTCTCCCACCAGAGCCTCCCAGCTACTCCCTGCTGCGGGCTGGACTGGGAGGAAAGGGGTGGGGTGTGCTTGCATGCGTAGGTCTTTCCTGCCCCTGGGGCAGCCTGATTAACCAGCTTCTCAGGGCCAAGGTGTTGGGGGTGGGGTGCAGCCCGAGGCAGCCAGACCAGTCCCTGAGCCTCCTGGGTGCTGGCAGTGTCATGGGGCTCCCCCAGGGGCACCCTCACCTAGGGCTACAGGTGCTCCTCACGGCGCTCAACTGTCTCCGGCCCAGCCTGAGCCTGGGTGAGTAGGGGTCCCTGATGGAGGCAGCCAGCCAGACCCAAGGGGTAGGGGGCCCTGCTGGAGGGATCAGAACCTGGGAACCCACCCACATCCAATTGGGAGAGGCAGCCCCAGGGACCCACACGCCCACCTCCATGGCTCACCTTTTGTTCCCCATGGCTACAGAGCTGGTCCCCTACATGCCGCAAATAACAGCCTGGGACCTGGAAGGGAAGGTCACGGCCACCACCTTCTCCCTGGAGCAGCCTCGCTGTGTCTTCGATGAGCATGCCAGTACCAGCGACACAGTCTGGCTTGTGGTAGCCTTCAGCAATGGTGTGAGGACAGCTGTGGGCCCTGGGTGAGGGTGGCGGCCGAGGAGAGTGGTGGGCGCTCGGAGCCCCTCACCAGCAGGCACCTTCAATGATGAGCCCCTGTGGGGGCCTTTGGGAAAGCAGGTGTGGATGAATTGGGCTTTATCCCAAGGAGTAATATGTGTATTGAAAAATACACACATAGCGCCAAATCCTGTGAGGAGTGTAAGTGGTGGGTTTGTCAGCTGCCAAGGGCTCTGCAGCCCTTTCTCTGGATCCAAGTTCTTTCTTTGGACAGGGAGCCCAGGCTGCGACCCAGGAGGTTGTGGGCTCGTGGGGGGTGGGGCTGTCACGCTGCAGCTGGGGCTGGGGCTGGGCAGGTTGGGGCTGCTCGAGCTCCCCACTTCTGACTCTGGGTGGGGATGCAAGGCCAGAGAGAAGCGGGGTGACAAAGTCGACCGTGGGTCTGGACTGCCTCTAGGGGCCCTGAGGGAGGAGGTGGCATGGGGAGGTCAGGGCTGGAGGGTGGGTGAACACAGAATCCCCACTCATCAGGACAGAGCTGATCTCTCACCCCCATCTGTTCTCTCATCCTGCAGCCTCCAGGGGCTTCCAGAACCCAGAGACACTGGCTAACATCCCAGCCTTCCCACGGCTGCTGACTGATGGCCACTACATGACACTGCCCCTGTCCCTGGACCGGCTGCCCTGTGACGACCTCACAGTGGGCAGTGGAGGCATCCCCGTGCTGCGGGTGGGCCATGATCACAGCTGCCACCAACAGCCCTTCTGCAACCCGCCCCTCCCTGGCCCTGGACCCTATTGGTGAGTGGTTCCCCCTCTCAGGGCCCTGGGACTGGGGCTGTGCTTGGGGAGGAGGCATTGCTGGGACAGGGATGCTCTCTCTAGCATCTTCCCAGGGGTCCCCGGCCCTGGTCCTCCCCTTTGCAAGCCCAGGCTCCCTCCTTCCACTGAAGAGTCAGTAACAGTGCTAACCCCAGCTGGGGCCGGGCAAGGCCCAGGAGGAGGAGGTGGGCACCTTGGCACGGCAGGATCTTAGTTAAGGTGGGAGGGGGCAGCTTCCCCGAAGTCTAGACCCCTGGTCCCTCCCACAGGCAGATCTAGCAGGAAACTCAGGGGCTGAGTTCAGACCCAGTCCTGTGGGTATGAGGCAGGGAGAAAGAGAGGTGGCTCCCACCCTCTCTAACAGATGAGGAAACTGAGGCACAGAAGCCCAAGTGGCCTGGCAAGGTCCGGGTGACACTGGGATGGGGAAGCAGGCAGTGTATCCTGGTCAGGACTCTCCTGCCACAGGAGAAGGTGGGGTGGCCTCAGGGACACCAGGCCCAGGGGAAGCCAGGAAGGCAGGGCGTGGTGAGGCTGGAACAGCACCCTGGTCCACCCAGCCCCCTCTGCCCTTTCACCCACCCTCCAGGTCCACCCTCTGCCCTCCCTGCTGGTCCTGGCTCAGCTTCCAGCTCCAGGCTCCACCCCATCCCCCGCAGCCACTCTTTTCAATGCCAACCTGCCAGGTCCTTCCCCGCTGCCCAGACCTTCCAGAGCTCCGAAAGACACACACACAGGCCCTCTTCGGGGCTCCTGCTGCCCTCGGTCCTCAGGCTGCTGGTGACTGAGTCCCGCTCCACCCCCCTGCCTGTCACACCTCTGGGCCTTTGCAGGGACCCTGCCTCTATGGGGGACCCTCACTCCCTTCCTTCCCTGGTCTCATCGACACCCCTCTGGGAGGCCTAGGACCCCTGCCCCGTGTGCCCTGCTAAGCCACCTTCCCCTGCTCTTTTGACTTGTGACATTTAGGAACCGGGCCCCTAAACAAGCATCCCCGGCCCCGATCTGGTGTCTGGAGAGCAACTACTCAGGTCTTTGGGAGCTGGTGGGGCAGGCCACGTGGCCAGAGACATCTCAGGGGGCTCTCAGAGCAGGGCTGGGCCACAGGCTGCTCCTGACAGGCACCCTGACTCCATATCCGTGGGGGGAGCCCAGAGGAGCTGCCTGGAGCCTGGCCCTGCCCAGGGAGGTCCCGGCCTCTGAGTCTCTCCCCTCCCCCTGCATCGCCTCCTGTTCCCAGCGTGAAGTTCCTCCTGATGGACACCAGGGGCTCACCCAAGGCCGAGACCAAGTGGTCGGACCCCATCACTCTCCACCAAGGTAGTGCTGGGCGGGAGGGGCGCCCTGGTTTCTGTCTGTTCCCAGCGGACTCACCCATCTCTGGGCCACCTCATCACCTCTGCTGAGCTGGCCACACTCCTGCTCGCACAGGGCTAGGGACCTGGAGGCCGTGTCTAAGTTGGGCCTAACCCCCAACAGAACCTCATGTTGGGGGAGTGCAGCACTGAGCCAGCCCCATCGGCGAGGGGCACCAGCTCTGCCCTGGTGTTTGCCAACCCTTGGGCTCCAGCCATGTCCTGGGCAGAGACAGCCTCCCGCTCATATAGGGAGTCAGCCTGTGTCAGCCCCTGCTGGGAGGGAGGAAGAGGGTGTGGAGGAGACCACAGTGAGGGTCCGGGCTGGCCGGGGAGGCAGCCAGCTTGGGTTCTGAGCAAACCCCAAGGGGCGAGCGTGAATGCAGGCCCAGGAAATTTCTAGTGCTATGGCCTGAGTGTTGGGTGTGGGCATCTCCTGGGAGGTGGCTTCAGAGGTCAGGAGGTGTGAGGTAGGAATCTTGTCATCTGAAGGCCTTGACGAGCAGGCAGTGGCCCGGTCAGCCCCGAGGTCTGCAGCCACTCTGTCTGCCACCGCAGGGCAGTGGATGAGCACGCGGGTGGGAGCAGCCTAGAAGGTGAGAGCAGGGTGGAGGCTGTGGTCCAGGCTGGCAGCACACAGATGCTGTGCCATCCCAAGGAAGAGGGATGGGGGCAGGCTCAGGGGGTGCCTGGGGATATGAGACAGCCAGGCCTTGAGGCTGGACGAGCATGGGTGGGGAGGGAGTGAGGGAGGAGGTGACAGCCAGCCCTGGGTCCAGGGGCAGCTCCTATGAGTAGCTGCTGTGTGTGCAGGGAAGACCCCCGGTTCCATCGACACCTGGCCAGGGCGAAGAAGTGGTGGCATGATCGTCATTACCTCCATCCTCTCTTCTCTGACCGGCCTCCTGCTCTTGGCCTTCTTGGCAGCCTCCACCGCACGCTTGTGAGTGGAGACACCTGCTTAGGCCCCTCTTCCACCTAGAACCCTTTCTGTTGAACTGGTCCCAGTGTCTACAAGCCCTCCAGGCGCACCGTGGGGTCTGTTTTATTTTTAGTAGAGACAGGGACTTGCTGTGTTGCTCAGGCTGGTCTAAAACTGCTGGGCTCGGGCTGGGTGCGGTGGCTCAAGCCTGTGATCCCAGCACTTTGGGAGGCCGAGGCGGGTGGATCACGAGGTCAAAAGATCGAGACCATCGTGGCCAACATGATGAAACCCTGTCTCTAAAAAAAAAATAAATAGAAGATTAAAAAAAAAAAAAAAAGAAAGAAAAGGCCGGACATGGTGGCTCACACCTGTAATCCAAGCACTTTGGAGGCCAAGGCGGGTGGATCACCTAAGGTCGGGAGTTCAAGACCAGCGTGACCAACATGGTGAAACTCCATCTTTAAAAAATTAATTAATTAAAGCCGGGCGCGGTGGCTCAAGCCTGTAATCCCAGCACTGTGGGAGGCCGAGGCGGGTGGATCACGAGGTCAAGAGATCGAGACCATCCTGGTCAACATGGTGAAACCCCGTCTCTACTAAAAATACAAAAAATCAGCTGGGCATGGTAGTACATGCCCGTAATCCCAGCAACTCAGGAGGCTGAGGCAGGAGAATTGCCTGAACCGGGGAGGCGGAGGAAAAGAACTGCTGGGCTCAAGTGATCCTGCTGTCTTGGCCTCTCGGGATTACAGGCATGAGCCCCCCTACCCAGCCCCAGGCTGTGGTTTCCAGCTGGGCAGTGCCCCTCCCAGGGCCTGTACAGGAAATTCCCACCCTGAGTATCTTACATCTCTGGGGTCAATGAGAGGGGCCAGCAGCCTCTCTGTGCTTCACTGTGTCCTCAGCCGAGGCCCTTCTCCTCCCAGGCCTCATCTGCTCTCTACAGATCCTCTGGTGGTTTAGCAAGCTGCCAGCAGGATAGCCAGGATGGCTGCCTGGAGAGGGCCACTCCAGCTGGTTCTAGAAGGGAGGGAGGAGGGATCAGAGACTGCAGGTGAGGCTGGGTGCAGTGGCTCATGCCTGTAATCCCAGCACTTTGGGAGGCCGAGGTAGAAGGATCCCTGGAGGCCAGAAGTTTGAGACCAGCCTGGGCAAAATGATGAAACGCCATCTCTACCTAAAATGCAAAAATCAGGGCTGGATGTAGTGGCTCACACCTGTAATCCCAGCACTTTGGGAAGCTGGGACGAGCAGATCATGAGGTCAGGAGATTGAGACCATCCTGGCTAACACGGTGAAACCCTGTCTCTACTAAAATACAAAAAATTAGCCGGGCGTGATGGTGCATGCCTGTAGTCCCAGCTGCTCGGGAGGCTGAGGCAGGGGAATCACTTGAACTCGAGAGTCGAGGGCTGCAGTGAGTTGAGATCACGCCACTGCACTCCAGCCTGGGCTACAGAGCAAGACTCCATCTCAAAACCAAAACCAAAAACAAAAACTAGCCGGGTGTGGTGGCGCATGCCTGTTGTCCCAGCTACTCAGGAGGCTGAGGCAGGGGAATCACTTGAACCTGGGAGGCAGAGATTGCAGTGAGCTGAGATCACACCACTCCAGCCTGGGCGACAGAGGGAGCTGGGAGGCAGAGCGGGCCCTGACCCTGCACCTGCCCCACGTGGCAGGGACATACGTATCTTCCTCCCCCTCTCCTCACCCAGCTCCAGTTTGTGGTGGCCACAGGAGGCCCCGGAGCAGCTTCGGATCGGCTCCTTCATGGGGAAACGCTACATGACCCACCACATCCCGCCCAGCGAGGCTGCCACACTGCCGGTGGGCTGCGAGCCTGGCCTGGACCCCCTCCCCAGCCTCAGCCCCTAGCCTGGCCTCTGTGTGTGGGGCTGGGGGCAGTGGGGCGCAGGGAGCCAGTGCATGGTGCCCTGTCCCAGCTCTTGCACCCACAGGCCCCCTCAGGCCTCCTTGCCTTCCCGCCACCAGCCGGCATGCCCCCTACCCTGTCTGGAATCCCAGCACCAGCCCCCCTGCCTCTGCCTTTCTGGTTTCTCTCCCTCTCCAAGCATCTGTAAGTTGCACTCAGGAGGGTTTAGGGGAGGGCCATGGGCAGGCTGGACACCCAGTCCCCATGTCCCTCCCCACCTCTGTCTCACCTGACCTCCTGCAAGGGAGGCTGGAGGCTGTGTGGACACGCTGCCCTGATTGCAAGCTTCCAGACCCCAGGAGGAGGCAGAGGGCCTTGCTTTGCCCTGGTGCAGGGAGCTGGGCCCATTCCAAGGTCTATGAGGCCTGAGCCACCCTCCATACCCCGTTCCACCCATCAGTGGCTGGGCCGAGGTGAGGACTCAGAGGCATCTCCACAGCCCTGATCATGGCACCTTTCTGAGAGTGGGACTCTCCATAGCCATCTGACTACCAATTCCGGCCGCCACCTCCAACCCTCTTACGCATACAAATGGCTCTCACCCTTATCCACCCCAGTAAGCATTTATTAAGCACCTGCTGTATGCCACATACAGTGTTAGACTTCGGGCATAGCTGGTCCTGACATTGGGGAGCTGCCTTCTCTAGACCTGAGACGACCACGTGTCCAGATGTGACCTGTTCCGTCGGGGGTCTGTCCCGCCCTTAGACTGTCACCCCAGTAGGCTCTCCGGGACCCATGAGCGTCCATCACCTGGAAGGACCGACCCTCTGCAGATCCCCCAGCGTCCGTCTGTACACACGGCCAATGGTTCCCATCGTCGCCACTCGGGGGCGCCAGTGAGCCACAGTGAGGGCGTCTCAAGGCCAGTGCGCATGCGCACTCATATTCGCTGCCTCTCCCTCCCGACTCCCAAGCGACCAGAAGCCAGTAGCAGATGTCAGGCAGCGGGGTCGGTGGAGGTCAGGACCCCAGGCCTCCTTCCTCCAAGCCAGAGGGATGAGCAGTCACGCCTGAGAGCCCACTGCGTGCCATGCAGTCCGCACAGCCGCAGCGATTTTCTAGATAGGGAAGCTGAGGCTCAGTCACTTGCCCGTTGCACTCTGTCCATGGCCGCTGCACACGCCCGTGGGGTGCGCTCCGGAGCCCTCTGGGGGACCACGGTTCCCGGCATGCAGGCCCCGCCCGCGGAGGGCGCTCGGTGGTGACCCTCGGGCTGCAGCCCTCTTTGGAGGTGAATAAACACGGTCTGGAGCCTAACCTGACTTGAATCGTGACCTGGAAGGACCGATCCTCTGTGCAGAACCCACCCTCTGTGCCCAGGGCCCTGCTCAGCTTCTGCCCCATGGGGTTACCCCGAGCCTGTCCCTTGATTGCTGTCCTGGCTTGTACTTTGAGGTACCCCCATCTCCTAATACCCCAGGAAAACATGCTTTTCAGGACCAGGAAGTCCAGGCACCAATGCAAGGTATGTGGTTTCCGCCGTGTTCCCTTCCCAAGCCAGCCCTTGCGCCCCTCCTCTCTGGAGGCCTCTCCTCCGTGCTGCCTGCACCCCCACCAGCCACTGGAACCCCTCCAGCTATAGACAGATTCGAGGGGCGTCGCGGTGGCTCATGCCTGTAATCCCAGCACTTTGGGAGGCCGAGGTGGGAGGAGGATGAGGTCAGGAGCCTGGCCAATATAGTGAAACCCCGTCTCTACTAAAAATACAAAAAGCCGGGCATGGTGGCACGGGCCTATAGTCCCACCTGCTCGGGAGGCTGAGGCAAGAGAATGGCTTGAACCCAGGAGGTGGAGGTTGCAGTGAGCTGAGATGGCGCCAGGCACTCCAGCCTGGGAGACAGAGTGAGACTCCGTCTCGAAAAAAAAGAAACAGATTTAGTCAAATGCCCTGGTGTCCCCGGTGACATCTGGTCAGGGGAGCCAGCCCCTTTAATTTACACTACTGCGATAGGCTGGGCGCCACAGCTCACTTGCACCTGTAATCCCAGCACTTTGGGAGGCTGAGGCAGGAGGATTACTTGAGCCCAGGAGTTCCAGACCAGCTGGGCAACATTGCGAGACTCCATCTCTACTAAAAATTTTAAAAAGATTAGCCAGGGGTGGTAGCGCACACCTGTAATCCCAGCTACTCAGGAGGCTGAGGCAGGAGAATCACTTGAATCCAGGAAACGGTGGTTGCAGTGAGCTGAGATCGCACCACTGCACTCCAGCCTGGACGACAGAGCAAGACTCCATCATCTCAAAAAAAAAAAAAAAAAAAAAAGGGAAAGTTAAAAGAGCATCTACCCATCAGTGACTCCCAGCGAAAACTGTCTCATGCTGTCCTATCCAGACCCAGGACACCCAGCTAGGGGCCTGGCCCCGGAGGGGTATGTCAGGCGGGAGTAGGGGGCCACTGGTGTTTGCCACGTGAAAAAAATGAAAAGATGAATGAATCCTCCCAGGTTCAAGGACCAGACAGGAGCAGGATTACCACTGCCTTTTTTTTTTTTTTTTTTTTTTTTTTGTGGAGTCTCGCTTTGTTGCCCAGGCCGGAGTGCAGTGGCACGATCTCGGCTCACTGCAGCCTCAGCCTCCCAGGTTCAAGTGATACTTGAGTCTCAGCCTCCTGAGTCGCTGGGATCACAGGTGTCTGCTACCACATCCAGCTAATTTTTGTATTTTCAGTAGAGTCAGGGTTTCGCCATGTTGACCACAGGCTTTTTCGTGTCCTGGGGTCCTTCTGTGTTTGTCTTGGTGTCAGAATCCGTGCTGATGCCAGGCACAGCGCCAGGGACTTCCCATGCGAGCCTGCAGCTGCCCCTCCCTTCTGCACAGCCTCTGTGAGTCCACTGTGGAACAGCCTGGAAGCTGACCTTGGAAACACCCTCCAAAGAGATCTTGCAAGCTAGGGGCGGATGCTGGCCCCCGCAGAGAGTCAATGGGGCTTCCTAGAGGTCATTTCTTTTTCTTTTCCTTCCTTCCTTCCTTTTTCTTTCTTTCTTCCTTTCTTTCTTTATTTTTATTTTTCTTTTTTTTGACAGAGTTTTTCTCTTGTTGCCCAGGCTGGAGTGCAGAGGCACGATCTCAGGTCACTGCAACCTCTGCCTCCCAGGTTCAAGTGATTCTCCTGCCTCAGCCTCCTGAGTAGCTGGGATTACAGGCACCTGCTATCACGCCCAGCTAATTTTTTTGTATTTTTAGTAGAGACAGGGTTTCACCATGTTGGCCAGGCTGGTCTCAAACTCCTGAACTCAACCAATCCTCCCACCGCAGCCTCCCAAAGCACTGGGATTACAGGTGAGAGCCACGATGCCCGGCCTTGAGCTGAATCTTGAAGGGCAAATGGAAGTTTGTCAAGTAGAAAAAGAAAGAAGGAGGCTGAGGCAGGAGGATCTCTTGAGCCTAAGAGTTCAAGACCAGCCTGGGCAACACAGCAAGACCCCATCTCTATAAAAAATATATAAAATGAGGAAAGGGCCAGGTGCGGTGGCTCACACCTGTAATCCCAGCACTTTGGGAGGCGGAGGTAGGAGGATCACTTGAGCCCAGGAGTTGGAGACCACCCTGGGCACCATGGTGAAACCCTGTCTCTACCAAAAACAAAAAATAGCCAGACGAGGTGGTGTGTGCCTGTAATCCCAGCTACTCAGGAGGCTGAGGCACAAGAATCACTTGAACCCGGGAGGTGGAGGTTGCAGTGAGCCACTGCACCCCAGTCTGAACAACAGAATGAGACTTCATTTCAAGAAAAAGCAAAAAAAGAACTCAAGGGCCCGTCCAGCACAGGCACGATCACATCAGGCCCTGGGGAGCTGTGCCAGGGCGCTCTGCCCCCAGAGTCACACCCAAGAGGGTCCTCAGCCAAACCCCAGCCCCTTGAGTACCAGCTCGTGACGGCCTTGAGCAGGACATGTCATGGGAATGGCACGGTGCAGAATCCTTTATTAAATGGCATTTAAAATATTCCCCAGGACTGTGTAGTTGGGGACACGCCACGAAATCCACTGGCCTGGAACATATGGCTCAATGGTTGAAAAGCAATGCATTGTTAAAAAGGAAGAACAGCAACTGTGGCAGGGTGATGACTTGCAGATGACTCAGCAGGCCAAAAACCAGAGGAATTCGGACGGCAGCAGGTGGGCACAGCAGCCGGGAAGCACCCGCCCGCCCGCTCTCCCTTCTCTCACTTCCTGCATTGGCTCTACCTCCCTGAGGTCTCTGAACCACCCATTTCTCTCCATCAGCCCTGCCATCCCCAAGCAAGAGCTGCTTGGTCTCCCCTTTTTTTTTTTTTTTTTTTTTTTTTTT